TATATATATATATATAATTGATTAGTAGTATTTCGAGTCAAAACGAGCCGAACACGAACGAACAAATTTTAGTTCTTGTTCGACTCGTTAACTTAGCGAACGAGCCGAATACGGGCTTCTTAACGAGCCGAACAGGAGCTGTTCGACAGCCCTACAAATAAGGTGTTAAGTGCAAAAATAAAAATTTACATGCTCATTTCCCAAATATATATGAACTGATGGGTATTTACGTAATTCTTCTTAAATATTGACAATGCTCCATACCTTTTCTTTTCAAATATTATTTTAAAAATATCAAATCCAACTTTCCTCCATTTCAAACAATCTAAATAATAAATACTCCCATTTGGGGTGGCAAGGAATCCGCCACGTGAGCAAAATAAGTGATCGCTCATATCTCTTTCTCCCCTCTCATTGGCCTCCTCTTACCCTTCCCCAACAGGCATAACAGAGCACACAAACCCTCCCTCCCTTCCCTCCTACCACCCCCTCCTCCCTCCCATGTCATCTGAATTCTGCAATGTGTGCGGCGGCCCCGTGTGGTGCCGCCGCCACCAAACCGATCTCAACCGTTCCGTCCCCATGTTTCTCGAATCGAACCACGAGCAAGCCGACTTCCACGAGTTTCAGTTCTTCGGGCATGACGACTCCGTCGCCGCCTGGTTGTTCGGCGAACCGAAGCCCGACGAGCCAAGAGACGAGCAGCCGCCGTTGAGTACCTTCGAGTACTCGGTTGATGACGACTTACGCGGCGGATCCAGACCCACTTTTGATGTGAGCCGGAGATCAGGAGGAGTCGAGCAAAAGCAGCTGCAGCCGCCGCCGCCGCCGAGCAGTGCACCCCCCCCCCGCCTCCACCATCGTGAGTTATTCGAGTCCATTAGTTAGCGGGCTTGCCTCATCATGCATGTTCTAAATCATGGCTTCAGCCTAAAGCCAATTAAAAGGATTAATGAAATTGGTTTAGGTTAGCTACTTCTGGCAAAGTTTTTAATTGCTTTTGGTGATTAACGGAAGCAATTCATCTTTATTTTAGAAGAGGAATTTGATAGGAAAAGGAAGAAGTCGATCAGGGGAGAAGAATTATATAAAGTTACTAAGTGCTTTTTTTTATGAAAGTAATTAATTTATGAGAAGATCTACATAAACATCACTCAATGCCTATTTATTTACATGACTGACACCTAAACTTCAATTTTTACGTATATGTCACATTATCTATGTCAAGAAAATATGTATTTCACCTTTCAGAAGTTAAAATTGTAATATTTTTTATGTGATATGAAACATTTGGGTGGTATAAATGTAAGAAAAAGGTAAGGTTTAGGTGTTACATTTGTAAATACAAGGAAATTGGGCGGTATGTATGTAAATGCCCCCATCATAATTGTTTTAGAAAGGTAGAAATGTGACAAAAGGTTGGTAATTAGTTAGATTACATATTAAATAAACCTTTAGTCAGTTAATTCAAGTACAAAGTAGTACTCTTTCATATCATTTCAGTGCAATAGATACCTTGCTAATACTTAGCTATAGTAAATATCACTATTATACATTTAAATATTTATCTTTATCTAGCCATTTTTTCATGCATTGAATGCAGATAATCTCTAACATTTCACAAGAATTTTGCAACTTGACATTTATGATAGGAAGAAGATTACTTCTTATTTCATCTTTCTTCTGTGCTTAATTTCACTAAAAATAACTTAAATTTCCATCATTAAAAGTTTACAAAAGTCTTCATAATCATTTATTAAGCAACTAGAACTTATTTCTTTGAGTATAATATAAATTAATGTGTTTGTGCCTGTTAATTTGAGCCTTAATAACATTGTTAATATCATTAATTACTTTCACACAGATGCCTTTCTCGAGCAGTAGCATGAAGGAAGAAGGAGCTGCAGGTGAGGCCATGGGATTGAGCTCAGCTGATCCCAGCTTGGATCGGGAAGCCAAAGTTCTCAGGTACAAAGAGAAGAGAAAGAAGAGAAGATATGAGAAGCAAATAAGGTACGCTTCTAGGAAAGCTTATGCTGAAATGAGGCCAAGGATTAAGGGTAGATTTGCAAAAACAGCAGAGTCAAGCCAGCCACAGTCAGCCTCAGCCTCCTCTTATGGCAATGAAAGGCTGGATCTTGGTTGGTAAAATAGTTATTTACAATTCTACATTGGAATTTATTGTGCTTAAATTGTTTATATACTCACAACATCGAACCAATAATTCTTGTTTCTAAGGATGAGATAGGTGGAAAGTTGGAGCTTATCTGAATTCTTTACTTTTTGTGTCAATTATATCCATCCAATCAATGCATTTTTAATAATATATGTTAGATTTGTGATTTTAAAAAATGATGGTGATGCACCATCATTTTGCATGTAGAGAGGAATATATGTTTGATGAGTGAGAAGTTTGAGGTACTTTAATTAAAAGATGTGTGCAACAATATCACTCACTTTCATTTTATGGGAAGAGTTGGGTAAAAGGAACAACACTTGGTAGCATATCAAAAGATAAAATATATTGACTTTGCGGGTGCTAGGAGTGTTAGGCATTTCAACAAAAAAATACATAGATTTCACTCTCACTTAATTATATTCCAAGTTTTTTTTTTTAATACAGAACTTGAGCACGTACTCGTATATTTTTGAGACAAACACTAAATCACAAGATCAGGTGGGCTGCACTTAATCGTATTCCAAGTTAAGTATGCACCACATGGTGTGATATTAGTTCCTTAGGTTTAGAGTTCCAGGTCTATCACTGTAACATTGGAAGAACATTTCACAAATGAAAAAGCATTGTGCACTTAATTCCTTAAAGGTTATGAATGCTTGTTCAAAACAAAATTGCATGAACATGGATTCAATCAAGTTGTTTGGGTAAATAAATCTTAATCAACAAGAGCATCTTTAAAGTCATAAGATGTCTAAATTGAGTTATTTAGAGTTTTGGAATGTAAGTCATTAATAATATGTCACTCTAAAAATGCCCAAAACTAAAGTAGTCTTAAATGGTAGATAAGGAAAGCAGTTTGAATAACTCTCAACTTCTACAATACCTGGCCTACAATGTCAAGCTACCATTGCTAGTTAGTAGGAAATAAAAAGTCAAACTCTTCCATAGGGTACTCTGTCACAATTGATTGGCATTACACAACAACATCTCATAATGCTTGTTTAGATTACACATCAATGAGAAGTTCAACTTCAATATTTCCACACAACCGGTTATTACATTTTTTTTAATTCCCATTTAGTTGTTTGATTAAGCTCATTAGCCCATGACTGACAGCGACTTTATATATGCTTAGAAATATAAGTATTTAGTACTGCTGTTAAAAGATTTAATTCCTCAGCAACTGCAACAAGAACTTAATAAAAGTTATAGATTTGATAAAGATGTATGTATAAAATATTCAATAATTGTAAAGTCACACTTATCAACGCAAGTATACGTATCACTCAAGTAATATAGGGCTCTAATGAAGTCCTAAATATCGATCCCACAGAGAGTAATATTTGAACTACGAACTAAGACTTTAGAAAAGCAATACTTTAATCGCAACAATGGAATTCAATTTGTTTATCAGTCACTAATAGGCAATTGAAGTAAATATGTAATTTTAATAACTATTAAATAACTAATTATACAATGAAGGTTCTAATGTGATATTCAATATATAAGAAAGCATCATTCTCATTGTCAAGAAATTATAGTGAATGGATAAAATGAATTAGTTCAAATTGTATTGTGTTAAATAGGAGTATACCTATTCTTTACCCTTTGGTCTAGGCATAAAGAGCATTGACTAATCCTATGCTTGTTTACTGAATCTGTGGCTAGGCTGGAAGGATACCGGCTCTCACTTCGGAGCTCACACGTTCTCCTCACCTGAGGGCTAACATCTACACTTCAGCACTCAAACGATAGGGCTGAATTGGAGATTTTAGTCTATCACTCTAAAATCTCCAATTCTACGCCTGATAATTTTATTTCCCTATTTATTTGCACCTAACTTCCATGGGCTTTGACCTCCCTAAATCTTGGATGTAATCTTCACTTTAGTTGTAAAACTCAACATATTTTAATAAATCAATTGACCAGATTGAAAGTAAATTAAGATCGAAGTGAAAAGATCATCACAATTTGTTTAACATTTTCGTGGCTCAACCAATTCAAATCACCATTTCACAAATCTTAAGACAAGGAGAAACATAGAGAAAACTACTCAGATCTCACAGGGAAAACACAACAAAACTCGGAATTCATATATAAAATCAAAGTCATACAAACTACAACAATAAATAAACTTATCTTTAATTTCTCCCCAAACAAACTCCTCGAAATTCCTCTGAATCTCTTCCTTTCTTTACAACACACAGAATTCTTCTTCGAAGCGGCAAGGAGGAAGAAATCTCCCACTTTCCCTCCACTCTTACAATCTCTCAAAGAATTCCTCACAATTTAGACTCTCTA